TGGTCATGGTGTCTCTTCACAGCAATGGAAACACTAAGACAGGATCCCACTCGAGAAAGCGGGCCCTGCACCTTCTCTGGGCAGCACAGCAGGCCTGACCTTGTTGACGAGGGCACAGGTAACTCATGCACATGTGGAAACCAGAGGAGGACCTGTCTAATTCCTTGGAGACGGGCTCTCTCACTGAACTTGGAGCTATGCTGCCAGCTAGCTGTGCCCCACAATCTTTCTGTCTCTGCTTCCTGAGGCTCTGTAGTTAAAGGCACTTTTGGCCATGCTTGGCTTTGGGAATTTAAAATCAGGTTCCTCTATTTACACAGCAAGCACTGTTACCTCCTGAGCCACGGCCGTAGTCCTGAGCCCTTGTTTGTATCGGTAATTGATTCATTTGTATTGTGAAATAATATTTCATCGCGTGGCCTATCAGATTCTGTTTAGTTTTCAGTTAATAAACATCTGTTGGTTTCTGCTTTGGTGAAGGAGGCACATTAGGAATTGTACACTGCAGCCAGGGCTGTAGGCACACCGAGTTGGTGCTCTGTCACTGAGGGCCCCAAGCCCTATTTAGGTCTTTGGCTATTGTGAATAACATTTCCTGAATAGTCATGGATTTTCTTTTGATTATGGTAAAATATGCATTTTATAAAATTTACCACCTCAGCCTTCTTTATTATTATAGAATAACTTATTAAATGAAATATTTTGCTTTAATTTATAAAATTTTTAGTTTTACTTGAATTTCTTTGCTATTGTATCTTTTTGTAGCAATGTTTTAAATTAGGATAAGAGTTGGAGAGATGCTTAAGTGGTTAAGAACACTGACTGCTCAGTATGGAGAGTCACAACTGTCTGTAACTTTGGTCCCAGAGATCTGATGCCCTCTTCTGTGGACACTGTGTGCACATGCTGTATAGTCATACATGCAGGCAAACCATCTATACACATAAAATCAATAAATAAGTAGCAAAATTAGAAAATAAAGAAAAAGAGCAAAATATAGGATTTCCTATTTTAACCATTTCAAATCATCCAGACTAACAGTAGCACTAAGCACATTCACATTCTTAATTATTTTTATTTATTTATATATTTATACGTGTGTGTGATGTGGGGGGTGCAGGGAGCGCGCGCGCGCACACACACACACACACACACACACACACACACACACACAGTAGCATTCATGTAGAGGTCAGAGGACAACTTGTAAGAGCTGGTTCTCCCCTTTCACTAGGAGGGGGATCTTCAGGCTTAGTGGCAAAATGCCTTGCCTTGCTTAGTCACTTCACAGGCCCCACACTTAGGTTCTTGCACAAGCATCATCACCAACTCCACCGCTTTTTCTTCTTCAATTGAAATGCCCCAAACATCTGGGCATAGCAGTGTTAATCTCAGCACTCAGGAGGCCAGCCTAGTTTGCATAGGCCAGCCAAGACTGTATAGAGGGACTCTCTTTTAAAAACAAGGAGCAAGGGCACCATGTAAACCAGAGCACAGAACTTGAAAAACGGAGACAGGAAGGTTGGAAGCTCTAGGCCATCTTGGCTATATAGCCAGTTAGAGGCAAGACTATGATCTGAGGGATCTTGACAAAGAAAACAAGAAAAAGGGCTGGAGAGATGGCTCAGAGGTTAAGAGCACTGGCTGTACTTCCAGAGGTCCTGAGTTCAATTCCTAGCAACTACATGGTGGCTCACAATCATCTATATACAACACTGTATACATAATAAATAAGTAAAAATCTAAAAAAAAAAGATCTGCTTAAAAAAATGAAAACAAAGAATCTGGCACAGGAGAAGCCACCAATAAAAGTCAATTTCCCAGTTACATGTGTAATGATGTAATCATTTCTCATTACTTTTTGTTGCTCCTTCTAAAAATCTAACAAACATATAATCACTTATTCTCTATGCAGGATAAGAAAAGAATGGTGATTTAGGCGCCTCTCAACTGCCAGCCAGTAAAAGCAGGTTTGGAATGGCATGGCTGGCAGAAGCAACCACATTGCTTCCCAGGTGTGTGACGGTATGCACCTTTAATCCCAGCACTTGGGAGGCAGAGGCAGGCAGATCTCTGAGTTCAAGGCCAGCCTGGTCTCCAGGGCAGCTTCTAACTGGGTAGGTTGTCATGGTTTCCACTGGCTTGGTTATTCTGTGGCTCCTTTCCTCTGGGAGAGATTTGATTTGTCCTTGGCCCACCCTGGGTGCGCTGGAATGTTCTCTGCATCACCCCCCCTCCCCTGAAGCTGCATAAGAAAGAGTCTCTCCTTAGATCGTCAGGTGAACCTCCAGGCTGCCCTCTGTGTTCTCAACACTTCTGTAGCTTGGGACACATCTCGACTTTCATAACCACCAAGCTCGTCCTCAGATCTTTTCACCCTAATTTTCTGACATCTCTTCCTCTGCTTCCCAAAGAGAAAACCTTACCTCGATGGATTCAATAATGTTTTTGATTTGGAAGCCAAGGCTGAGATATTTTGACTTTTGACGGCTGTTATCACCTTCCCATGAGTTAGTGGGGACTAGGTGCCTCTTTTTTATATATAAACATCGGCATTCTGTATTTTACTTATCTGTGCACAGTAATTGACAAATGCATTATTGGACTATTAATATTGTTGTTATAACTTTTGAGACAGGAAAATGGGTCAGGGAGATGAGTCGGGGTAAAGGCACTTTGTTTTTTTTTTTAAATATTTATTTATTTATTTATTATGTATACAATATTCTGTCTGTGTGTGTGCCTGCTGGCCAGAAGAGGGCACCAGACCTCATTACAGATGGTTGTGAGCCACCATGTGGTTGCTGAGAATTGAACTCAGGACCTTTGGAAGAGCAGGCAATGCTCTTAACCTCTGAGCCATTTCTCCAGCTCCTAAAGACACTTTGATATGGTGTCCGATGACCTAAGCTTAATCTTCAGGATGTACATGGTAGAAGGCGGATGGACGGTAGACTTCGGCCTCTGACTTCTACATGCATGACGTCCTGAGCTTTTGAGCCACACTGTCCCATAAATAAATACATATAAAATTTTAAAAGACTATGAAAATAAAGTGGTAATAGTATTTTTGTTTTGTTTTGTTTTTTGAGATAGAGTCTCTCCACGAGTCCTGACTGTCTTGAAACTCAGTATGTAGACCAGGTTGGTCTTGAATTTGTGGGAACTTCTTCCTCTGCTTTTCTAGTGTTGAGATAACAGGCCTGTACCACCATGCTTGGCTCTAAAGAACTTCTTTTGG